ATGAGGGCCGTGGGCACACGCTGGATTGCGTCCTAGAAAAAAACAGGAAGCGAGGAAGTGGATGCAGCGAGAATTCATTCCACCATCTAAAATTTCCATGTGCTGCACATTTTGTGTTCAGTGGCAATGCCAGTGTGAAGGAATTTTCATAAACACAGGGAAGAACACAGTATATTACATATTACTATGAATATATTTCTTATGAGTACCCACAAGCTTGCTACTTAGTCTAATGCCAACTTTAGGTCAGAAAACCTGTATTTTCACTCTGAGTCTATTTACACTGTAGAAAGCACAATAGGACACTAAATAAACTTGCTTTTTGGGAAAGCACAAATCAGCGCTAAAGCTTCTCATTGAAGCCCTTAGCGCTAATCTACTCTATTACGCCCTCTAGGGTCGTGTGGAGGGACTGGGGTGGGCAAGAGCAGGTTTGTAGCTCTGAGGATGTGAAGCACAGAGCTCAGTCTCGTATTTCTTATTCATTATTGTATTTTCCATACAGACAACTGTAAACCTACCTTTTCCCACCCCTGTTGAGGTGCTCACAGGAACAGAAGGTGACCTGAAGTCGATCTGGTCAGGTATACCTACGTTCAAGTGCTGATTTTGCTGTTCACTAGTTCTGTACCCTGGCAGATACGTACCCTGGCAGTTACCTACCTCTTATGTACCTGCCTTGTCAAAGCTAGAATGTGGATAATAAGTATCGGATAATAAAGCATAGCATTAGATAGTGTAACGTTAAGCATGGTGCCTGGCACATAGTAAGGTCTTAGTAAATGGGAGCGATTTTTGTATTGTGTGATCATTGACTTGTTCTTGAATGGGGTATAACTGAGATACTATGCAATTTAGTAAACAGAAGATAGGTCTTTTAATACACAGCAGAAAAATGAAGTAGCAGAGAGAAAGACATGTCTTAGAAACCAGTGTTTGGTTCACATTACTCTCTGTGTTCATTTCTCTCTGTTACCTCATCTTTAGTAAAGTCATATACGCTGAGTGGTTAAGGTTGCAGCCTTCGTCAGATTACATTTGTTATCTCGGTCGCCTGGAAGGAGCTGGCCACTCCAGCTCCATCTCCCATGTAATCCCTTCCCATGTAATCAGCACTGCTAGTGAGAATAGCTAACATGCATCAGCCCCTTCCTGGGTACCAAGCACTGCTCTCAACACCTGACAACTATGAACTCACTGACATCTCCCAGCCCAGGAAGGTGGCTGCTGTCCTTGCCTCCATTTGCACAGGCGAGAGAACTGAGGCCCTGAGCAGTTAACACAGTTGGTTAGTGGTGGGGCTGGAACTCCAACCCAGGCAGCCTAGAGACACAGTGTGTCCTCTGTTATCACTTCACCCTGATTCACCAGGGTCTGCAGGGTGGAATTTAAGTGGTCACTGTTTGTCTCTGGGGGGCGAGTAAAAAGACAGGATGGGTAGGAACCCTCGGTGGCCAGTGCGCCCCCCAGTGTCTGGGTTTCACATCCCACCTCCAGCCACCAGCCAATTTGGAAAAAAGTAGGTTCATGAAAACTGAGAAACAATGATCTTCGTCTCTGAACTATACATATTAGTCATGAAAATAGAAGATTAGAAGGTTAAGTTTTTTGGTGCTTATACCCAAAGAAGGAAGAGTCATTTCTGCATTAAGCTAAAGAAGTTTTCAGATGCTTAGCAGGAAAACAAAAAAAAAGCCCAGTGTTGGGTAAAATTATAAACATGTGCCTGCCTCAGATGCTCAAGTTGAGTGCATGTAAAGAGAACAGTCGGTATACGTGTCCTCGACCATACAGCTTCCTTCTTTGTGTAATGCAAATCGTGAGTGTGACCCCTTCCACCTGACATGAGCGGTCCGTCTCTGAAGAGCACACCGTAGGCTTCGACGCATGTTACACAACCACCAAGATGGCCCTTTTCTCCAACATGGTGCTTCTTTTTTCTTTCCCTATCCAGCGGTTAGTACCCAGGCCTGAAACCCTTAGTTACAGAACAAAGTGGCTTAGCAGTAATCAGGCCTGTGCGAGGCTAAGGGGAGAAGAATGAAAGTTCCCTTCAAGCTTCCTGCCTGGATGCAGGTGCAGGAATCAGGGGGCCATGAATAATGCATGACATGCAGATTAGGTGGCGGTTTCTCCTACTGGGGCTTTGACTTTGCTACCTGCCTGGCTGCTGCATGTGGAAAGAAGTTGGGCCTTGGCAAAAACCATCACAATTTAAAGACTGAGCTCACACAAGCAAACACTGCCTGTCCTTTTGAAGAAATAAAATTGGGGAGGCAGCTGAAATGTAAACCTTTGTGGTGTACTTTATCAGATGAAGTGAACTCTAGGTTATCAATTTACTAATTTGGGGAAGGGAAAAAAGCTTTCTTGTTTTACTGTTTTAATTTAAGGAACTTTATAATTATTGGATCACACACAATCAGTAATTCTTTGAAGACAAACTGTTATGGAAATTGTCTGCTTCTAGTAGTTGATATGTGGCTGGATCACTAAGTATCTACAGAATATTGTAATTATAGTTCAAACTGTCCTAGTTTTCTCCACTGCTATGTACAGTGAGAACCATCAGTCAGAGAATATATCTATTATCAAACTTCAGCTGGTGGAACTATCATGATAAATAGAAATGTTAGAGTTAAGGAGGAAGCAGAACAGAGGTAAACATTTAAAGACTGTAGGCTGAATTAAATAACTGTGTGGACTGTTCCTTTTTACAACTGTGTTTGGACTATGCCTTGGCCGAGGCAGAGTGACCGTGACACCCAGTGGGGATGTTGGCGAGGTCCAGGAGGGCTTCCTCTATTCGCCTTAGGTCAGGGGCTCTCACTGGGAGGCAGGTTTTGGCTCACAGTTCCATTTTGGTGATTGGATTTCAAGGACAGAGAGTGGAAGAAAAAAGGAAGAAGAGAAGAAAAAAAATGAGTTCTCTCTCCTACTTTTGTAAAATTCTCGTGCGTTTTTTATTGCGTGTTTTTTTCCCTTCTCCAAGGTCGGGTTACTGGAGTGTGAGCAGGCTCTCATTTCTATCTGAGCCTGTCATTTCCGCTAGACTCCAGTTTGGCCAGATGCCAAGACCAACAGGTGATCCTTGAAACTGCAAAACAGCAGGAAGTGGGCCTTGCTTGAATGAGACAGTTCACCAGAGGGGCTGTCTGGCTTCTCTCCATTTTCCTGCATAATTAACGTCCCTCCCCCATGCCGAGCAGAAAATCTGTGCTGAGCAGCTCAGCTGCAGCAGCCATTGAGAAGCGCTGTGAGGAAAAGAATGTTAATGAGGGATGTTGGGAGAAATAAGCCTTCTGGCTCTGGATTTACTGAGAGACTGCAATTGGCCCTTCTGAGGGGCTAGAACTGTATTATCTGTTTTGAAATGGTTTGCACTTTGCCAGACACCTTTGGAGAACTGGGGTTCTAATGAACATTGGAGCTTTTGGTTCTAACTGGGCTTTAACAGGAGTTTTAAAAAAACCCCGTTTTCTTTCTTGTCTTGTAAATAAGAGTAATGTCTGGGATATAAAGAGTAAAGAGACACAAGCCAAAATCCTGCCCAGATCTCACAAGTCCTAGTAAAGACAGAACAAAGCAGGAAGCTGGCCACAGAGAAGCAGGAAGTGGGGCCAGTGAGTGTTGCCAGTGAGTGACCCACCAAGAGGTGTAGGGGGTTCGGCAGCCAGCTTGTGATTGGAAGATATTCTGGGTTCCAGGAAATGTAAATTATTTCCAGTGGATGACTCCAGTCCTGAAAACTTTAAAAACAGTATAGTCTTTACTCCCCCATGATTTAACTAATATTTCAAATTGACTTTGCCTACCTCAAAGCCCAAAGCTGTAGAGCATCACATCCAGAAGGTCTTTTTCCTGGCAGTAACTGTCCACCTGTCCTTCCTCCTCCATTCCGACAGATTCTGTTCCAGGACATTTGGAGGAAATTATTATAGGGGAGGAAAGAAAAACTCCCTCTCAGGTTCAGTGTCTGGAGGGGCGGAGTGGGGGAGGCTGCAATTGAAACTGACAAAAGACAGATGAGCAAGAGGCAAAAAACAGTTTATTTATGTGCGTGACATGCATACCTGCAGAAGTACTCAGTGTTAAGTAACTCAAAAGGTGATTAGAACGGGGAGCTTCTATACCATTTTAACAATGGGTAATAAATCACAGAGAAAGGACTAGTCAAAAGAAAAGGGATCTGGCCTTCTAGGAAGGTAAATTGTAAGAAGATGACTAGCAGATGTATGGGGAAAATAATGGTAAATGGGGGGTATGCAGACCCATTTCAGTACCATCTCTGGTGATAAGAGTTATACGTTAGGCTACCCTTCCTGGAATGAGAGAGGGGGACACCTTTCCAAGTGAAAATGTTCTTTACAAAAGATAAGTTTCTGCCCTGCTGTGAGGCCTTTGAAGGGCAGATACAGACCTTTTCCTGTGTGTGTGCTGTTTCTCAGTTACCATTAGTTCAAAACAGTCCTCATGCCAGAGTAGCATATTTGGGGTGGCATATCCGATCCCCTTTATCATCTTTCTGGTTTAAGTCTGGAAGTTAACTGAGGAAGCATGCACTTAGACTGTCTCTGTTGTGCCCCTGCGGGAAGAGGCAGCAGAAAGGGCTCATTGAAGGCAAGTACTACACTTTACATGATTTTCACCCACTCCTAAACCTGGCAAGGAATAGGTCATACTCTTTGTTGGACTGAATGAATGAAGTCAGTTGATTAAAACTGGTGGTCCCGCTTTGGAGGGTGGTTCTTCACAGTGAGCATATGAGACAAACTCTTGTTATGTCACAAGTGGTACAGAAGGAAAAAGACATACTGTGCGGGTTTGCAAGCAGAGGAATTTTAACAGCATTCATTTCCTAAGAGGTGCTCCAGTTCTAGGGGGTTCTATACTAAGCAAATCTAAAAGAGATCATTTATATACCAGGTTCCTTTTCATATGTTCATTTTTAATCAGGAGTATGCTTTTTCAGTGACTGGATTACTCTCATCTGCCTGCAGGATACATCCGTCCCCAGTATCGAGGGTCCGAGGAAATCGAATGAATAACCAGAAGTTTGCTTGGTGAGTACCCAGTCTAAATTATCAGAACGTTCAAGTCTTACGGGCAGTTTTAATGGGGCTGCGTGAGAGCCCAGGAAAGTCACTCCTGCTTCTCTGTCAAGAAGGTGTTTCTGCGCAGTGAACTATGTCGTCTCGCTGTCCTTTGGAAAATTTCTCTACAGCCCAAACTCTTCACTACCTAAAACCCACACGGACATATTTTTGCTAACAGATATGGCTTATTTCCCAGGATTATTAACTGTCACATTTTTAAAGATACCCCTCTTTTTAAAAATACTGTAAGTTTCTTAGTTAGATTTAGGCAACAATTCAGATTTTTCCTCAGGTACCAATTTCCACTTCTCATGAGGATTTTCATAGTAAAGTAATATATTAATTTTGAGGTTTACTATTTCAATTTTTCAGACTGAGCATTAAATATCCAGGGGTTTTATTTTTTAAGGTTCTAGTTATTTAATTTTAGAGCTAAGGGGAACTGAGGGAGAAGGAGAGGGAGAGAAACATCAGTGTGTGGTTGCCTCTCATGCGCCCCCTACTGGGGACCTGGCCCACAACCCAGGCACCTTCCATGACCAGCAACCCTCAGTTTCACAGGCCAGCACTTAGTCCACTGAGCCACACCAGCTAGGGAGGGATTTTACTTTTAAATTTGGGGAATACAGATATCTTCTTGCAGTGACTAGTTCTTCAACAAAAATATAGATGGGAAGTTATCATAAATGACCTGAAAAGTAAGTTCAACCACAAAACATTTATTATTGATTCTATAAAGAAGCAATTTAAGATGTTCTATGAATGTTTTATGTGAAACAAAAAAATAATTAATATACATTTAAAATCCATTTTGTTTACATTAGCCACTCCGTTACACAAAATTAGCCTTTCTACACACATTGTATCTTTTTTAAAAAAGAAGGAAGAAAAGAGGAACTCGAACTGTGTCCTGTTTATTTCAAAGGTGAATGGAAATCCAACAGATCTCCATTTTTACTTCATTGAATTGTGCTTAGAATGGGATTTTGATTAAAAATTGCTTTTTTTTAAGTATGGGAAGATGATTACCAAAGATTGAGCTTCCAAATTAATTTTATTCCTAAATCAGGGTTATTTTTAGACACAAAATAATGACTCTTTGATTTTGAATAGTGCCTAATCAGCTCACCTCCCTTCCCCCATTAAATCTAATTAACTACCTCAGAATAGCTGGGTGATGTTGTTAAATATTATGCTTCTCTCTTGTCACAGAGAGGGAAATGCAGCACAGATGACACAGCTGCTTTCTAACACCCTGTCTAGAGCTGGGGCATCCTTCATGGTGCCCCGCGATCACTAAAGCGTATTGGCCCCCGTCCCACCGGGACAGCTGAGGGAATGAGAAGGCTGACAGCCGCTGCATAAAAGCACAGGGAGAGGTCAGGTCCTCTCCTGACCGAATGGCCTTGCAGGCTGAGATGCTCAAGTGAGCACCATCAGTTAGGGGGCAGAGTACAGCCATGCTGGTCATGAGATCTGGTTTCTGCAGCGTATTTTTCAGTGGCTAAATGTGCAACGCTAAGTAAACAACAAATATTCTTTTCTTCACTTTTTCTTTCCTAAATAGTAGAGTAACAATAACTGGTTTCTACATAATGTATCGCACATTATTTGGTTAATAAGTTTAAACCACTTTTATCTCTTGAGAAGTGAGAAAGAAGAAGGATTTTCACTGTTAGCCTTGAGAAAATTCAACTTTTATTTTTATTCAGCAGCATTTATTTACTGTCCTTGGCCCTGTGGAAAACACTGGATTAGAAAGATAAATAAAACACAGTTTCTGTTCTCAAGGGGCTCACTGTCATGAAGGGAGTGGGTGTGTATGTCTTTGTGATGTCGCACACATAATATACAATATTCGTGGTGTCATATGCACTACTTATATGTAATAAAATGTAGATGGTTCTCTAAGGAGATATATTTATAGTATTGAGTTGGCCAAAAAGTTCCTTTAATTTTTTCCACAAAATAAAAGATGTACTTTCCATTTTCACCAATAACTTGATTTGGATATTTTCAGTGTGTCAGCCACCTCCCACATGGTAAAATGTTGATTGTTCTCAGTTAATGTCTCTATTTGATCTCTGTCAACTTCAACTGGTCTACCGACTGTGGAGCATCATCCAGTGAGAAATCTCCCACATGAAACTTCACAAACCACTTTCGACTAGTCACAGAACCTTCGCTACACTGTATAAATCATTTTTTGTGTGTTTCAGTTGCATTTTTACCTTTCTTGAAATAGTAAAACATAATATGCTGAAAATGTCACTTCTTCCATCTTCAGTATGAAACTGGCTACGCAAAAATTCACCAATTTTGACATTTTTTAAAAAATCCATGCTGATATGATGCATCTGCCACAACACAGTCTAATAAAATTGTTTCAACTGAAGCTAAAGACAACTAAGTACTACAAGAGCCATCCTACAGGGAAAAAAAAACAAACCTTTTGGCTAACCCAATATAATGTTCAGAGGAAAATGTTATCAATTCTATTTAAGACCGATTTGAGAGTAAGTAGTAGAGAAATGAGAAAGTACAAAGGAAGGAGAATACAATCCGCAAACCCACTGCAGAGGAGGATTTTGAGTAACGACCCAGAACCAGTAAGAAAAGCAGAGTGTTGAGATGGTACTTTCTTTACAGGTTGAAACACATATACAGGGACTTGGAGGCATTGCTAAATTAACTGTAGCAGGAGCGTACATGGATTTATTACATGTGCTTTATTTGGTCATGAGTCAGTTAAAATTCCTACTGTATGTTACTACCTTGAATTTTCCTTCAGTAAATACTGTGAGGCTGGTATATGGAAATCAATCAAATAAATCACCTGGCTGAGAAGCAGCCCGGTGAATCACCCAGCATCTGCATCTGATTAAGTGATAAACATTCACTCCTTCTTTGTGAAATATTGGCTTTGAACATCCAGGAAGTTGAACCACTCCGACTAGCAATGGAGATGAAGGGAAAGTGATATTTGCTCTCCTCCAAGAAGTGTGGGGTAATTTATAGAATTAGATGTGAAGTTCAACCCCAGCTTGGCTCAGGAGTGAGTTAGAGCTGCAGATTCTTCATGCATGTGATGTTGGGTGGTTTTGTGAAGTCGGGCTAGCAAATGCTTCAATCAGGTGAAAAAGATTGCTCATCAGAACATCAAATAAACCTCGCTAAGAGATGGAAAGGCTGGGGTTATAAGGTATGGATAAGAATGCATGACAGTTGGTGGGTTGTACGTATCAGTGCCTGTGGTGGAGCTGTCAGACCTGGGTTGATCGCTGAGTGAAGACGGTTTAAAATTTTAAGCAGTGTTTTGCTTTGCATAATGTGACTACGAGAGGTGGCGGCCACTGGCCTCGTTCCTGTAGCAGCATTTCTTCTAGAGATGAAGAAATGTATGGAAGAGAATTTCTGTGCAAGGCAAACAAACCTTCTGGAATGGAAGGAAAATGGGGTAACAAATGTACGTATCCAGGGACAAGATGAAAGTCTGGAAAGGTCAGAGGTGCAGTGACAGGTGTTAGGATGGAGCCAGTTTGCTGTAACTATCTGCTAATTCCCAGGGATTAAAAAATGGCAGTAAGAACTTCTTGTACCCCAATAAGGAACATGAGGTCATGGTATGACTACAATTAATCAAAGGTAGCAATCGGGCCAGACAGAAACTCACGGTCACTATGGCCGTCTCCTCACAGCCACCTCACTATGGTAATATTTGTTGATTTGAGGATTGATAAAGCCTTTAAAGTTCAGCCTATGAGCTTCCTTCTTTATTTCATGAGTCATATCTCTCCTCTTTCCTTCACCATTGGCTGTAACAGGTGATCACACCTTCCTTTGTCTAATAACTATATAGACTGTTTTTAGAACATTCCCACTCTTTCTTGCCTAGGATGATGCCCGGAAAATATTTTGCTCTGTTTTGGGCAAACTGCAGGGAGTAGGGCAAATTGTATCAAAGGGTTGAATGTGCAGGTGGGCTTTTGTCCTCTACAGACCTTTTTTGCATGAGGCTATAACTTTGTTAGTTGAAATCCACAGGAAGTGTTCGTTTCCAAGTCATCTTTAGCTGTTTTACTCCCAAAGATATAACAGAAATCTAGACCCCATGTTGGGAGCAAGCCAGGGAGGGGCTAGCCGGGGAATACCTCTGCACTGAACATCGAAGGTTCTGGACGGAAGGCTCCAGAACTTTCTAGGACCAGTGTAAGTATTCTGAGGATATACATATTAGCATGTGCTCATCGTTAGTTTTTACCCTTTCTTCTCTTCTCTCCACTTCTCCTGTCCTGAAGTTTTAAAGGACTTGGACATATATTATTGTATCGATGATGATTGTAGTAGTGGTTACACCTCGTGCTCAAAACAGCCACCTAGAGCTCTTATGTAACAGTGGTAGTTAGTGGGTGTCACATGACAGAGACTTTATGGGTTATTTATATGATGACATAGAAAATAAGGTATTGTTGGTAAGAAATTTCATCAGTAAAATTGAAATAATTTTCTCTAACCAATTGGATGCTGCCTCCATCAGTCTCAATTATGATTTATTTCTTCCATGTGCCTGAGATGGTATGCAGCTGTATGTACAAAGAGGCCTCCAGTTTTTGACAGAGCATCTATGCAAATTCTAAGACATTCTGGGTGTGAGTCACATTTAACTTTTGGATGTGGTAAAGTTCTGTGTCACAAATTTTTGTGGAGAGCAGGAAGAGCCTTTTCACACTGATGTTTTATCGTTGGAGATAGAGAGCTACAGTGAACCTAAATATTTATATGCACACAATTGCAAATGTTAGACATGACTTGCGAGAATCCTTCTAGAGAATCTAGCTGGTACAGATCCTTGTCATGAAAATAAGAACAACCATTGTCGTTTAAATCTTTGCCTTAGAAGAGGAAAGCACTGAAGTTGTTAATACTGGAAACCTCTCAGGAAGCTGATGCAGATCTTGTCTTTTGGG